GACTTTTAATTTTTTACTTTTCGATTTTTTGATTTTCGAGTTTTCAATTTTTTGAAATATGGATTTTTCGAATTCTTTCGACTTTTCGTTTTTCGAATTTCCAATTTTTCTATATTCCTTTTTTTGCTTTTGCTTTGGACTTTGATTTCTCGAGGTTTCGATTTCCCGATTTTTCGTTTTTTCGAATTTCCCATTTTTGACTTTTCGATTTTCCGGTTTTTCAATTTTCGATTTTTTGAATTTTTGATTTATCGGTTTTGCAATTTCTAGTTTTTCGAATTGTCGAATTTTTGATTTTCGGACTTTTCCAATTCCCCTTTTCGATTTCTCGATTTTCCGATTTTCCGATTTTCCTTTCTTCGGTTCATCGATTTTTAGATCTTTATTTTTAGATTTTTTCACTTATGTCGATTTTGGGTTTTTCGAATTTCCCTTTTTTGTTTTTTCGAATTCTCGATTTTCAGTTTCTCGATATTCGATTTTTCGATTTCTCGATTTTAGATTTTGCGATTTTTCGAATTCATGATTTTGGAGTTTTCAAATTCTTTCGAATTTTCAATTTTTCTATATTTTGACCTCTCGACTTTCAATTTTTTGATTTTGGAGTTTTCAAAGATTTCTCGATTTTCCGATTTTCGGTTTTTCCATTTTCCATTTTTCGAATTTTAATTTATTCTTTTCGATTTTTCGATTTTTTATTTTTCGATATTCGAATTATTGATTTCTCAAATTTTCCATTTTTCGACTTTCCTTTCGATTTTCAAATTTTCGAGTCTTCGATTTTTCAATTTTTCAGTTTTTCCATTCTTCGGTTCATCAATTTTTGAATCTTTATTTTTCGATTTTTTCACTTTCCGAATTTTGCGATTTTTAGAATTTTCAAATTCTTCCGAAATTTCGATTTCTTCATTTTCGATTTTTTGATTTTGGATTTTTCGACCTCGATCTCCCGATTTTCGGTTTTTCAATTTTCCATTTTTCGAATTTTAATTTATTTATTCTTTTCGATTTCTCGATTTTGAATTTTCTGATTTCGAATTTTTCGATATTCGAATTTCTCATTTTCGATTTTTTCAATTTTCCATTTGCGATTTTTCGATTTCTCGATTTTTAATTTTTCGAATTGCATTTTTTTTCTTTTCGATTTTTCAATTTTTGTTTTTTTGATACTCGAATTCATTTTCGATTTCTCGACTTTCCTTTCGATTTTTCAATTTTTCCGTTTTTCAGTTTATCGATTTTTCCAATTTCCCACTTTTGAAATTTCGAGTTTCCATTTTTCGATTTTGGATTTTGCGATTTTTTGAATTTATGATATTGGAATTTTCAATTTTTCTACATATATTTCGATTTCTTGATTTCCATTTTTCGGTTTTTCTATTTCCCATTTTTCGAATTTTCTTTTTTTTTCTTTTTGATTTCTCGTGTTTCGGTTTTTCGATTTTTGATTTTTCGATATTCGAATTATCGTTTTCGCTAATTTTCTATTTTCAACTTTTCTTTCGATTTTTCTATTTTCAGATTTTCGAGTTTTCCATTTTTTAATTTTTCAGTTTTTCCATTCTTCGGTGCATCGATTTTTGAATCTTTACTTTTCGATTTTTTCACTTTCCGAATTTTCGATTATTTTCCCAATTTTCGAAATTTCCATTTTCAGATTTTCTTGATTTCCCATTTGCGATTTTTCGATTTTCGTTTTTTTGAATTCGGATTTTTTGATTTTTTGATTTTTCTGTTTTTTTCGATATTCGTATTTTCAATTTTTCCCTTCCGACTTTTCGTTTTCGGATTTCATAATTTTCAGTTTCTTGATTTTGGAATTTTTAATTTTTCTATATTTTAGTTTTTTTACTTTTCGATTTTTGATTTCTCGATTTTCTATTTCTCGGTTTTCGATTTTTCGAGTTTTGGATTTTTTAAATTTTCTATTTGCATGATGCAAACGTTTTAAGCTTATACAAAACATTTGTCAATTTTTCGATATTTCCAATTTTCGATTTTCTATTTTCCGGTTTTTCAATTTCTAATTTTCGATCTTTTCAATTTCCCATTTGCGTTTTTTCGATTTTTGGTTTCTCGATTTTCGGGTTTCCTATATTTCCATTTTTCGATTTTAATTTTAAGTTCTTTTCGATTTCTCGATTTTTGATTTTTCGATGTTCGGATTATCGATTTCCCTAATTTTCAATTTTTAAGTTTTCCATACATCAACTCTTCGATTTTTGAGTCTTTATTTTTTGATTTTTCACATTCCGAATTTTCAATTTCCAGTCTTCTAATTTTGAAATTTCGAATTTTCATTTTTCGATTTTGCAATTTTTCGAATTTTTGATATTGGAATTTTCAAATTCTTTCAATTTTTCGATTTTAGGTTTTTGAATTTCCCTTTTTTGATCGATTTCTCGATTTTGGATTTTGTGATTTTTCGAATTTATGATATTGGAATTTTCAAATTCTTTCGAATTTTCCTTTAATTCGATTTCTCGATTTTAAATTTTTTAATGTTGGATTTTTCGGTTTTCCGATTTTCGATTTTTCGATTTTCAGATTTTCGAGTCTTCGATTTTTCAATTTTTCAATTTTTTCATTCTTCGGTTCATAAATTTTTGAATCTTTATTTTTCGGTTTCACGATTTTCCGATTTTTGCTTTTTCTATTTTCCATTTTTCGAATTCTATTTTTTTTTCTTTTCGATTTCTCGATTTTCGATTTTCCGCTTTATGTTTTTTCGATATTCGAGTTTTCTAATTTAGGATTTTTCGGCTTTTCTTTCGATTTTGCGATTTTCGAGTTTTTGATTTTTTAATTTTTCAGTTTTTCCATTCTTCGGTTCATCGATTTTTTAATCTTTACTTTTCAATTTTTCCATTCTTGGATTCATCGATTTTTGAGTCTTAATTTTTTAATTTTTCACATTCCGAATTTTCGATTTCTTCTAATTTTGAAATTTAAAATTTTCATTTTTCGATTTTGCGATTTTTCGAATCTTTGATATTGAAATTTTCAAATTCTTTCAATTTTTCGATTTTGGGTTTTTCGAATTTTATTTTTTTTCTTTACGATTTCTCGATTTTCGGTTTTCCGATTTATGATTTTTCGATATTCGATTTTTCTAATTTTCAATTTTCGACTTTCCTTTCGATTTTGCGATTTTCAGATTTCCGAATTTTCAATTGTTCCCATTTTCGAAATTTCGAGTTTTCGTTTTTCAGTTAGGCGATTTCTCGAATTTTGACATTGGAATTGTCAAATTCTTTCGATGATTTTTTCGGTTTTCGATTTTCGAATTTTCAATTTTTTGATATTTCGATTTTCGATTTTTTGATTTTCGATCTTTTGAATTATCGATTTTGCAGTTTTTCGAATTTTTGACATTGGAATTGTCAAATTTTATTCAATTTATCGAATTTTGGATTTTCGATTTTTATGTTGGAATTTTTAATTTCTTTCGATTTTCAGCTGTTTGACTTTTCGATTTTCGAATTTCAATTTTTCTATATTTCAATTTCCCGATCTTCGATTTTTTCAAATTTTTGGTATTGAAATTTTGATCATTTTTTTACTTTTAAATTTTTTGATTTCTCGATTTTCGATTTGTGAATTTTTTCGAATTTTCGCTTTCTGGATTTTCTAAACCTTCAATTTTTCGATATTGGGATTTTTAATTTTCGATTTTCGGCTCTTCGGCTTTTCGATTTTCGAATTTTCAATTTTGAGATTTCGATTTTTGATATTCGATCAATTTTTTTAGTTTTCGATTTTTCAGTTTTTCCATCCTTCAGGGTATGAATTTTTAAGTCTTTTTATTTTTGATTTCTCGATTTTCCGGTTTGTCGAATTTTAGATTTTTGGAAATCTTGACTTTCGATCTCTTAATTTTCAATTTTTTGACTTTCGAATTTTAGATTTTTCGATTTTCTCTATTTTGACGTTTCGATTTTTCGATTTGTCCATATCCCAATTTTCAGTCTTTTACTTTTTTTCGATTTTTGGAATTTTGAATTTTTCGATATTCCGATTTTTCGAATAGATATTAAATAAATTGGATTTCCGATTTTTGAACTCGTTATTTACTCGTTTGGATGTTACGGATAGAGGTCATCAGTGTTTTATTGTTAGTATTACAATGCCCATATCGGAATTGACATACACATCTTAGTTGAAATAATGTTGGTCGGAAAATTTTCAAATGGGAAAACGCGCTAGAAATAGCCTTGCCCTTTATCAATGCATTCAGATTTTCGAAGCGTTTCCTAAGGACAGGTGCACTGTAGACGAAATATTAACAAGTGTGTTTTCGTAACATAATGCGTTCGAATCATAAGTAGTGGCAGAGCATGGGTTATTAAAATATCTATAATACGTTAATGAATTCAGAAAAACAAGAATATTAAATGCCAAGAATGACATCTGCCATAGCATCGAGCATGTGCGTCATTTTTTCGTGATTTTTTATAGTGTCATTAAAAAAATTGGATGTCGTCGAGGAACAAAAAAATGTATTATAGATTATCAAAACAGATTCTACCAATGTTTTGTTTTTGTATTTGTCACTCGGATAAATTATAGTTAGAACGAAGTTGTCTACCACGTGAATCTAAATTTTAAATTCGTCTTCATTTTTTACTGAATTTCCATACTGGGGTCAAGTTTTGAACCGTCGGCCGTCCAATCACAATTATTTGGTGTAACATACTAGCCTTAGCCAGTGGAAATATCTAATATGAATACAGAGACTACGCAGTTGTCGAATAAATTAGATAAACGGACAAAATAAAGTTCAGTCAAAATGTCAACATCCCGGCGACTCGTTTTCCGAGCCAGTTTATTTAGGCTGCGCATTTTCACTTCTCTCTTCGCAAGGGCTCCACGAAACAAATTCCCGATATAAATCGGCCGCCTGTCAGGCTAGATTAAAATGGAAAACAGCAATAAAGCAAACGAACTCTAGCGTTCGCAACATCATGCTCGTTCCACGGCTAATATATTCGTTTTTGCAGGCAAATCACCCGCCAGGATAGCTCCGAAAAGACCGGCGACGTCCCCGGAACGCAGCCTCGTGTCTCCGGCCTCTTCCAGCCCCCCGTCAAAGGTATACATCATCTCCGCCATCACACCGTTCATTACTTTATTTTTTGTGCAATGTATTCGTCCTTCGTTTTATTTGTGCTTCATGCGTCCATTTAATTGTTGAGTCCATGGATCACACAGTAGCCTTTGGATAATTTTACGTTTACTTTTTAACCGTTGGTGATTTTTTTGCAAGATAAACTCGAAATTAGTGGGAAAGCTTGTTTGTGGTGTTGTGGCCGTTCTCACACTAAGCCGAGTATATTCTATTTTGCATGAGTTGCACGGATTAACATATTCCTCGGCTTTTATTGTTATCTGCTTCCTTCTTCTTTGTTTTTATAATGAGTCGTCGTCTGGCTAATAACATTAACTCACCGCCGGACATGACAGGAGATTATGTCTGCAAGGTGAACATGCGACAGTGACATTGAAAAGCTCGAAAAATGCAGATGACGGCTCATTTGTTGGTGGGAACGCACGCTTGCATGGTTTCGAGGAAAATTGACCGTTCGGAGATAGATTTCCACGAACGATAGTCAGTTTACCACGTGTTTCCTAATTTTCACCATTCTCGTGCTTCTTATCTTACTTTTCACATCTTTTTATTGTTGTAATAAACAGTGTGGGTTTCGGTTAAGGTCTAAGTTGGTAAAATAAAGCACCAATTTCGTGTCGAAATTCGAGCCAGAATTGTGCAAATACACTGTTTATACATCGCCTTTACGCAGAGCATGTCAGAATGCACCGATTGTACGCATTATCGAGTACATGCCAGAACACCATTAGGAATTTTTCATCGCGACTCAATTTTGTAAATTTGGTTAGTTTTTGTGAAAGTTCAATAGCACAATAAAATTCGGTAGGTAAAGTAGCCAATACATAATCCAATTAAGGAATAAATGTTTCGACATCTGTTGTTTTAAATTAATTCGCGTTTAAAATTCGCTATTTTACTACCAAATAAATGGTAATACGAAGAATAGAAAGAACTTGTTTAGCGTGAACAAACAAGTATCGACTGACTCGAGACGTTCGAATTAAGTTTTCCTATTTTTATCAACGTAAACAAAAAAGTTGTACCCCGTGTAAAATTAATTATAATTTAAAAACTTTTCTAGAAACCTAACGAGCATGATAGATAATGATCATAAAGTGGAATGTAATGTAATATTAATGAGTCCGTTTAGACTTGGCTCGGTCCTGCGTAAGGTCAACTGACATTTGCCAACATGAAACGTGCAAAGAATAGAAGAGGGAAAAAATTATTTTGCGTCTGCGCACTAAACCTCAAAGTTTAAGAGATTGTGCAGCATTTGTGGTGACTTCGGTCTCGTCTTCGCTGGAAAATGTTAGCACAGCTTATTTATTCCAATTTAACTTCAAAGAATGTAAAAAAATACCATGACTCAACAGTCTTCAATAGTAATAGAAACTCATTTGTTTATGCATATTTCAATGTTTATTATGTCACGGTCATGAACATGTGGTATTAGACCCGAGTGTAAACAGTAAGTGACATTACATTTAAAAATTCACTTGTTTCTGCCGACGTATTGATTTAAATTCGGTTGTATTTTAAAATATGCGAGATATTAAAGAGTGTTTTTTGAATTATACCATTAAATCGAAATCCGAAAATTTGAAAAATCGAGCAATCGAAACATCAAAAAATAAAAATATCTAAAATTGAAAAATTGAAACATTTTAAAGGTTGGGATATCGAAACAACAATAAAGTGAAAAATTGTTAAACTTAAAAGGTCGAAAAATTGAAAAATCGAAAAACTAGGAAATCGGGAAATCGAAATTGAAAAACCGAAACATCAAAAAATCGAGAAGTCGAAAAATCGAAAATTAAGAAACTCAGAATTGAAAAATTGAAACATAGAAAGGTTGAGAAATCGAAACAACAATAAACTGAAAAAATTTAAAACTTAAAAGGTCGAAAAATTGAAAATTCGAAAAACCAGGAAATCGGGAAATCGAAATTGAAAAACCGAAACATCAAAAAATCGAGAAGCCGAAAAATCGAAAATTGAGAAACTCAGAATTACAAAAATTGGAACTTAGAAAAAATTGAAATATCGAAAAATCCAAGAACGAGAAAGCAAGAAAATGAAAAATGACATATCAAAAAAGTGGAAAATCCAAAAATTTAAAAATTCGAAAAATTGAGAACTAGAGATATTGACGAACTGAAAAATCGATAAATCTTTTGATCTAAAATTTTGGAAATCGAAGAATTAAAATATCGCGAAATCAAAACATTAAAAGGTGGAGCAAACAGGAAATCTAAAAATTGAGAATTTCAAAATTGAAAACTTTGAACTTTAAAAAATACGATAAATCGAACAATTAAAATTTCGCTAGATCGAGAAGTTGAAAAATTGGGAAATTCGGAATTCAAAAAACCAAAACATTGAAAAATTGAAATCTCGATAAATCGAGAAATCGGAAAATATAAAAATTCAGAATTCAAAAATTTGAACTTTAAAAATCCAAAAATTGAAGAATTGAAACATCGGAATATCGATAAATCGAAAAATTTTAAAGCTAGAAGGCGAAAAATCCGAAGATCGAGAAATCGAAACATCAACAAAATGGACAATCAAAAAAACAAAAATTTTTGAAATCGAAAAATTGGAAAATTGAAAAATCTAAAAACGAGAAAACAAGAAAGCAAAAAATCGATAGATTGAGAAATCGAAACTCCAAAAAATAAAAATTCTAAAAATCAAAAAATGAAAATATCGGAAACTTTAAATTCGACAAATCGAAAATTTGAAAAATTGTGATATATTAAGAAATTTAAAATCAGAAATTGAACCATCAGAAAATCGTAAAATCGAAAAACTGAACAATCGAGAAATTGAAAAACCCAAACTAAAATGTCGAAAAATTGAAAAGTCACAAAATCGAAACCAGATATAGAAAAATCGATATCTGGATAAATTCAGAAATAGAAAAATTGGGAAATTCAGAATTCAAAAAGTGGAACTTAAAAAGCCCAAAAATTGAAAAATTTATACTTCAAAATATCGAGAAATTGAAACATCAACAAACTGGAAAATCGAAAAATCTAAAAACGCGAAAGCAAGAAAGTAAAAAATCGATAGATTGAGAAATCGAAACTCCAAAAAATAAAAATTTGAAAAATCAAAAAATGAAAATATCGGAAACTCTAAATTCGACAAATCGAAAATTTGAAAAATTGTGATATATGTATTAAGAAATTTAAAATCAGAAATTGAACCATCAGAAAATCGTAAAATCGAAAAACTGAACAATCGAGAAATTGAAAAATCCAAACTGAAACGTCGAAAAATTGAAAAGTCACAAAATCGAAACCAGATATAGAAAAATCAATATCTCGATAAATTCAGAAATCGAAAAATTGGGAAATTCAGAATTCAAAAAGTGGAACTTAAAAAGCCCAAAAATTGAAAAATTTATACTTCAAAATATCGAGAAATTGAAACATCAACAAAATGGAAAATAAAAAAAAACAAAAATTTTTGAAATCGAAAAATTTGAAAATCGAAAAATCTAAAAGCGAGAAAGCAAGAAAGCAAAAAATCGATAGATTGAGAAATCGAAACTCCAAAAAATAAAAATTTGAAAAATCAAAAAATGAAAATATCGGAAACTTTAAATTCGACAAATCGAAAATTTGAAAAATTGTGATATATTAAGAAATTTTAAATCAGAAATTGAACCATCAGAAAATCGTAAAATCGAAAAACTGAACAATCGAGAAATTGAAAAACCCAAACTGAAATGTCGAAAAATTGAAAAGTCACAAAATCGAAACCAGATATAGAAAAATCGATATCTCGATAAATTCAGAAATCGAAAAATTGGGAAATTCAGAATTCAAAAAGTGGAACTTAAAAAGCCCAAAAATTGAAAAATTTATACTTCAAAATATCGAGAAATTGAAACATCAACAAAATGGAAAATAAAAAAAAACAAAAAATTTTGAAATCGAAAAATTGGAAAATCGAAAAATCTAAAAACGCGAAAGCAAGAAAGCAAAAAATCGATAGATTGAGAAATCGAAACTCCAAAAAATAAAAATTTGAAAAATCAAAAAATGAAAATATCGGAAACTTTAAATTCGACAAATCGAAAATTTGAAAAATGTGATATATTAAGAAAGAAAATGTAAACTTTAAAATATCGAGAGATCGAAACAACAAAACAAAAAATCGAAAAACAAAATTTTAAATAGAAAAATTGAAAAACCGAAAAATCTAAAAACGAGAAAGTAAGAAAGCGAAAAATCGAAAGATTGAAAAATCGAAACTCAAAAAAGTGAAAAATCTAAAAATTTTAAAATTCGAAAATTTTAAAAACCGTAAAATCCGAAAAGTCGAAAAATCAAGCAATCGAAACATCAAAAATACAAATATCTAAAATTTAGAAAACCAAAAATTGAAAATATCGAAAAATCGAAACATCAAAACATCGTAAAATCGAAAAACTGAAAAATCGCAAAGCTAAACAATCCAAACTGGAAAACTTGAAAAATCGAAAACCAAGAAATCGAGATATCGAAGTTGAAAAAGTTGAAAATCGCGAAATCGAAACAAGGGGTCGAAAAATCGAGAAAGTCAGAATTGAAAAATTGGAACTTGAAAAACCGAAACATTGAAAAATCGAAATATCCATTAATCCGAAAAATCTAAAAATTGAGAAATTCAGAATTCAAAAATTGGTACTTAAAAAAATCCAAAAATTGAAAAATTAGAAAATCAAAATTTAAAAACGAACAAGCAAGAAAACGAAAAATCGGAAGACTGTGGAATCGGAACATCAATAAAATGAAAAATTTTAAAATTTAAAAAGTCGAAAAATTCAAGAATCGAAAAGTCGCAAAATTGTAATTCCAAGAAATCGAGAAGTCCAAAAATCGAAAAATTAGGAAATTCAGAATTGCAAAATTGGAATTAAAAACCAAATAATTGAAAAATCCAGAAACTGAAAAATTGAGAAATTTAAAATTCAAAAATTGGAACTTCAAAAAACCCAAAATTGAAAAATTGAAGCATCGGAATATGACAAATCGAAAAATTTTAAAGTGAGAAGGCGAAAAATTAAAAGATCGAGAAATCGAAACATCAACAAAATGAAAAACCGAAAAAACAAAAATTTTTGAAATCGAAAAATTGAAAAACAGAAAAATCTAAAAACGAGAAAGCAAGAAAGTGAAAAATCGAAAGATTGAGAAATCGAAACAAAAAAATAAAATAATCTAAAATTGAAAAAATCAAAAAATGAAAATATGGGAAACTTGAAATTCGAGAAATTCAAAAATCCAAGCTGAATTGTCGAAAATTGAAAAACCGTTAAATCGAAATCCGAAAAGTTGAAAAATCGAGCAATGGAAACATCAAAAATAAAAAATATCTGAAATTTAAAAAATCAGAAAATGAAATGAAAGACGAAAAATCAAAAGATTGAGAAATCGAAACTCAAAAAAGTAAAAATCTAAAAATTTTAAAATTCGAAAATTTGAAAAACCCTAAAATCCGAAAAGTCGAATAATCGAGCAATTGAAACATAGAAAAATAAAAATATCTGAAATTTAAAAAATCGCGAAAGGAAAATATGGAAAACGTAAAAATTGAGAAATTGAAAAATCCAAACTGAAATGTCGAAAAATGAAAAATCGTAAAATCGAAATTCGAAAAGTTGAAAAATCGAGGAATGGAAACATCAAAAATAAAAAATATCTGGAATTTAAAAAGTCAAAAAATGAAATATCTAAAACGAAAAATCGAAAAATTGGAGAATCGAAAAACAGAAAAATCGGGAAATTAAAAAATCTAAACTAAAATATCGAAAAATTGAATGTTGGAAAATCGAAAAACCAAAAAATAGAGAAATCGAAAATGAAAAAATTGCAACATCGAGAAATCGAAACATGAAAAGATCGAGAAGTCGAAAAATCTAAAAATTGAGAATTTCAGAATTGAAAAGTTGGGCCTTCAAAAACGAAAAATTGAAAAATCGAAATGTCGATAAATCGGGAAATCAAAAAAGGGAAAACTTCGGAATTGATAAAGTAGAACTTTAAAAAACCGAAAAATTTAAGTGCAAGTGGGCAAAAAATCGAAAGATCGAAAAATCGAAAAACCAAGAAATCGGGAATTCGAAATTGGAGAAATTGAAACCTGACAAAACCTAAAAATTAAAAAATCGTAAAATTTAAAACCGAGAATGCGAAAAATCGGGAATTCGAATCATCAAAAAAGTAAAAAATGTAAAAAGGAGACAGCAAGAAAGCCAAAAATCGAGAAATTGAAAAATCAAGAAATCGAAGAATTAAAATATTGTGAATCGAAACATAAAAAGTCGAATAATTGAAAAATTCAAAATTGAAAAAATTTGAAATTAAAGAAAAACGATAAATCGAAAAATCTAAGCATCGAAACCTCGATAGATGGAGAAATCGAAAAGTTGAAAAATCTCGACATCAAGAGATCGAAACATTTACAAAATGAAAAATCGAAAAAACAAAAATTTTTAGTATCGAAAAAGTGAAAAACCGAAAACCTAAAAATGAGAAAGCAAGAAACCGAAAAATCGAAAGCCTGAAAAATTAAAACTTCAAAAGAGTGAAAGATCTAAAAATCCAAAAACTGGAAAAATTGAGAAATAGAAAAATCGAAGAACTGAAAAATTGAGAAACTCAAATTTGAAAAAATTTGAACTAAAAAAAACGATAAATCGAAAAATTGAAAAATCGAGATATCAAAATATCTAAGATTGAAAAATCGAAAAAACAAATTTTAAAAATCAAAAAATTGAATAACCGAAAAATCTAAACCGAAAAACCAAGAAAGCAAAAATCGAAAGATTGAGGAATCGATACACAAAAACTCGAAAAATCTAAAATTTAAAAAATCGCAGTTTTGATAAATAGAAAAATCGAACTAAGGACTCTAAAAATCAAAAAATTGCGAAATTCAAAATTGAAAAATCAAAGCTCTCGAAATCTAGATAAATCCAGAAATTGGAAAATCAAAAAATCTAACAGCGAGAAGACGAAAAAATCGCAAGATTTAGAAACCGGAACATCAAAGAAGTGAGAAATCGAAATATTTAAAATTTAAAAATTCGAAAAATTAGATAATTGAAATATTGAAAAAGCCCAAAATTGAAAAATTAGAAAGACGAAAAATTGAAGAATCGGCTAATTCAAAAATCCCCGAACTAAAATATTGAAAAATTGGATAATCGAAAAATTCCGAATGCGAGACCTATTTTTCATACTCTTGGGGTCATGAAACGCGAAAACATGAAAGTAGCCAGATGGACTCGATTACGATACTATTTAGCTTACGCTCGTGAAGTAAAAAGAATAAATACAAAGATAAAACAAATAATCTTATCATGGTTTGCATTACAAAAACGCTTTCAACCAGTTTAAAACTTAATTCCCTCTATTGAAACCCGAACAACATAATTCGTGTCCACCTGCCACTTCCCTGATTTAATTGACATAAGCACGTCGCTAAGACGACACCTCATCGATGATAAAATGGTTTTGAATATTGATGACCTCCACATAAACTGATTAAACAAAAATGGTCGCCGTCCGTCATTACCAACAATAAAAATTTATGCGGTCGCATTGAAACCATTTCTGGATAGCAGCAAATCAACGAAAAAAATGCATGCCATACCGAGTTGAATTATTTTATTATCTGCACATTTTCGTAGTTTATGACAACATAAATTGCTAAAACCATCTCTGAAAATGGTGTTCTGTTTTCATATTGACGTCGCTTTAATTATCATAAAGTTAATTAATATTAATTTTTATTAATGCGACAACATGTAAATTCAAATGTGCAGTTTTGGAAAAGTTATTAACCTTTCTGAATTCGCGAATCTATAATAAGCTTTTTTTGACGGTAATGTAATAACAAGTTTGACTTTTTTAACACTTATTAAGTTTACGCAATCGTCAGTTTGAATGCACCGGATTGATTTCCTCGTCATTACATAAATAAATAGTTGCATTTTTGGCGAATTTCGCCATCGAGTGTTTATTAATCTTCACTTTCTTTGTCAGTTATGACGGGTTTTTAAAGCATTAGTGAAACGGCCTGGGAAAGGCACGCCCCTTCCGGTAAACAAATGTAATAATAACACCATTTACAATCGTATAACACTCTTCTGTATAAAAGTGTTCCATTGCGTAACTCCTGTGTACTAATTTCTTACAAGCAATTAATAGCGAGATGCGTTACGAAACCTCGACGCATCTGTCTAGCGATATATTTAACTTTGTAGTTCGTAGATGTAGCACTTAGCCATTTTAGGAAATTCCGTGCGAAACATTGCACAAAAAATAAAGACTTAGTCGTACCTCGGCCCGTGCTTTATTTAACCCACACTGTTTATTTTCCATAGGAAGAGAGCTTGGACATAATCGGCCAGTACAAGCCTGAAATATTTTGCTGAAGGTAATGATAACCCCCATTTTTTTGTTTTCGCGTCCTGCTTAAGATTAAACCGATTTACCGACCACAACTTCCGCTCTGGTTATCACACAAAGGAAACTTGTCTGTTTTAGGTGGCATTCCCCAGCGCAGGCAAAGTCCGTCGCGAGCCTTGCGCTAAATGCAGCCTTCCAGTTTTTATAGCCGAACGTCTAAACGTAGGAAAACTCCTCTATCATCGAACGTGTTTCCGCTGCGCCCGTTGCAACAGCCAACTCACGTTAGCCAACTACTACGAAACCGAGAACAACGAGTTCTGCTGCGAAACGTGCCCAGATGAAGAAAAGTCCGTTTTCAAGCAGCCCGACTCCTCGGTGTTGACCCGGTCCCTAAGCGACGAGGAAAAATCGGCGAGTCTGAAGAAGAACGAAGAAGATGACTACAGTGCCAAATTCGAAACGGCTTTGGAGTACCCCGAGGACGGCAGCTTGAAGCGCAACTCCACCTTGAACAGCTCGCAGTACACCAAAGCGCGGTCGTTTTTCATCAGCAGCCAGGTAGAAGATAGTGATTCGGGCAACGAAGACGAACCTCCCGATTTACCGAAGACTAAACCGCCGGCCCGGATTGAAAATGTGACTTTCGGTGGTGAATCGTTCGGTGATAGTGGTTTTCCTAAAGACAAGAAGAACGTTCATGTACATAGTGTTAGTTTAGGTAGTGCCAGTGCTAAACTGGAGAAATCTCACGATATTGTTACCAAAGATGCGATATCTGCAGAGGGCAACACAAGTTCTTTGGTTAAAGCTCGAATGCGGTTATTTGAAACCAAGTCTGATGCACCTAACGAAACTCGTAGTGTCAATAATAAAGTGCCTTTAAGGAACGCGAGTGCGAGCGGAGAAGTTGGTCAAGATAACAAGGAAGATTCCAGTCTGCATAGCTTTAAAGACAGTACTATACACAAAGACACGGGGGAGGACAAGACGGAAGTGTCGATGAAGAGCGACAAAGTCGAAGATTCGGTTATAACCATCTCCGATTCAGTGATAACCGTATCAGACAGTGAAGAAAACGCGTCACAAGACACCCCATCGGTGATAACCGACACCGAATTAACCCCAAAAACCCAACAAGAAACAAGCGAAACGCCAATAATCGACGACGTTTCGGTCAAACCGGACGAAGACGACACACACACGTCACCCCAGATCGAACTAAACCCTCCCCAACAAATTCCAGAACAAATTCCAGAAGAAATTCCAGAATGTATTGTTACCGAAGGATCAATCGCCACACCCGCCACTCCACCACAACCCGAATACCCAGACGATTTAAATCCATTTGGCGACGAAGACGATGTTGAACCACAAGAAGAGTCAAAAAATATTGCAAACGTGTCTCTAAATCCTTTCGACGACGAAGAAGACGAGCCCGAACCCAGCCCCAAACCCACAGCTCGAAGAAAAATCAAACCGACAGCGGACGACAAGGAGCTTTCTACCGTCTACATCGAACGCATCAGCGTGAATCCGTTCGACGAAGACGACGAGCCGCCCCAACCCGCCAAACGCAAAATCGTCGCCCCGAAGATCAGTTTGAACCCGTTTTGGAGCGACGACGAGGAAAACGACAGCAAACCCGTGCCAAAACCCAGGCTTACAAAGTGAGTACCGTTGTGACAAATCGAAACGTGAGTCATTGTCCTGTTTAACATTCGCTACCGGTATTGTACTTAATTCTTTGAATAGGTGTGCATACTTTGCGTCGTGATGCTAAAATATCGTGTTATTAGGCCTGAAGCTAAGCCGCGTGAGGCAGGGTTTGGGTCTTTGAGTTCCGTGGCGAGTTCGCAGTCGGGGTTTACCCTGAAGAAGAAGAAACCAGCGCCGAAACCGCCGTCGGTACTAGGGGGGAGTGAGTCTGGACCGAGTTCGCTAACGTCGAGTCCTAGCCACAGTGTGGTAAGTACAATTTTCGAAATAGTGTGAATGGGTTGTAAGCTTGTTTATAGACGCACTCGCCAAGGTCTACTCCGAAAGTTAGAAAAAACAAGAAGGCCCCGCTACCCCCCACCTCGACACCCATAGACGGACCGTCAGTTCCTCTAGACATAGATATAGCGGCCCTGGAAGATGACTTCGACAAGGAAAAAAGCGCCAAGGATGAGCAAAACCGGAATAGGCAAAGCCAAAGTTTGAGTTTACAAAGTAGGTGACTGACTTGGTTGACTATGACCATTGTTTAAGTATATTATAGTTGGAGAACCTAATACAAATTTTACTTCGCCTAAATAGTGAGCTTTAGGACAAGGAATCCAGGGGGCGTGGGACAAATTTTTCGTCAACGCGCATTTTCACTACAGTTATTTTACTCTAAATCAGATGGCGCCATCAAACATTAGCAAAGGCAAACACCCTTCACTCTGCTCTTATACGAGGAGTTATCCATAAATCCATAATTAACATTGTTCCGTAAACAGTAATGTGTATAAACATATATGTACAAAATATGAAAATATACTTGACATAAAAAATATGAAGCAACGCGTTGTAACGTGATAAGAAAGAATTGAATTTAAATGAATTTGACGCATATTTTTATTTGAAGACTGACAGAAACTTTCCAAGGGTTTTTAAACTGGTATAATTGTTTAGTTTTACAAGATTAAAGTAAAACAAGATTTTAGGTAAAATTTAGATTCGTGGTGTTACAAAAATATTAACACAAAATGAAAATATATGTTCAAAGTAAATAACAGAATGACATAAACTTTCGGCGTTAACATTACAAATAATTACAAGAGAGAAAAAAACGCATAAAGAACTTAAGAGGCATGTTTGTAATATCGAGTTGTTAAAGGCTGCTTTGAAGACTGTTTGTTTCTATGAAAAACAATTACTGTTATCGGACATTTTGGTAGATTTTGTTCCAAAAATACGAGATAACTAATTGTTTCTTGAACTAGTTTCCGTAACTTCTAAAATTTAAAAAGGATACGCCGTTGTGCTGTAATAAAATCTAGAATAAGGTCAAAATCACACTAATATTACATCTGATTTTGTTAACCACATGAATATAATTTACATTAAAATAAGTTACAGACATTGTTTGAAATGTTTATTATAGTTCGAAAACAAGATAAAATAAATAAATAAATAAATAAATAAAATGTGCAGTTTATAAACTTCAGAATTTTAGTATAAAAATAATCATGTTTGAAGCTTTATTTTATCTGTTCGATTTTCTGCACAGTTAACTCTTTGCGCACTGCACACTGACAGAGTATTTTGTTCACGCGAGCATCAAAAATATTACGCCGAAAGCACTTCTTCAAGTGTTATTTTTTTAAGATGTCATATTTGTCAGCGTTTCCAAAATTTTCTTCTTTGCACAGGTCAACTAATTTTTCGTAAACCGCATTTTAAAATTTTTGTTATTGTATTTTTTACTTTTTAATTTTCTAAGGCATGAAAAAATCCCATATAGGTTTCTATGAAATTATTAACGAAATCAACTGATAACTTGCGCGCCATTTTGTGTTAATTAACACCAATAGTGATTATGATAATTTTATAATTATCAATTTAATGAAATTGTGTTCTTCACTTCGCGAACGACAGAAAACAATTTAAAATTACCGCTAGTCAAGCACCTGAAAATCCATCTCTCCCAAATATGTCTTTCTTGGCACGATTTGTAATCCGAAGTCTCCCTCCACATGCAATTTTTCGTCGCCTGAGAACTTGTTTGATCTACAGACCAAAACACACTCAGGCCAATATCGGCTTTAAGCGATTTATCTATAAACCGATATTCGTTAGAGTTGATGTGATACACATCCACTACGAAGAACTAACCCATTTCGACCATTGGACTTTACAACGAATAAGTGAACAAAGTTCTTGAACATCTTAACGATTTAATACATAATGTTCCCGAATGACAAAATTTACATTTCAAATTGTATTATCAAATTACACTCTCCAAAATTTGTCACGAACAATGAAATGACGCAATCTCCAAATTTTACAATAGTAAAATTGTAGTTTCGCCCCGTTTACGGTTTATGCATCCGTGTCGAGTTTCACCTTAGACGTCAAGATTTTTGGAAAAAAAAAATCAACATTTTCCAATTTATAATGTTATGTATTTAAATTTTAAAAAATAGAATAGTCCTGATCTTGTGATTTATACCTAAATACGCTATCGGGATTTTTCGGCTTGTCGATTTCTCGATTTTTCAACTTTAAATGTCTCAATTTTTCAATATTTCAATTTTGGGCTTTTCCGATTCCTCCATTCCTTAAATTTTCTATTTCTCGATTTTTTTATTTTTCGATTTCTCAATCTTACGATGTTTCAATGATACGATTTCTCAATTTTTGTCCTCTTCAATTTTACGGTTTTTAAATATTTCGATTTTTCAATTTTTCAAATTTTCACGTTTCTAAATTTTCAGTTTGCCGATTTCTAAAGTATTTTTTTTATTTGTCCACTTCTGGATTTCCTAAAGTTTCGATTTTTCACATCTTCAATTCCTCAATTTTTCGATTTTTTAAGATTACGATTTTTCAATTTTGCTTTTTTAGATTTTCGATTTCTCAATTTTCCAATTTTTTAATTTCTCAATTTTTTGAATATTTCTTTCAGTTATGAGATTTTTCAATATTTCAATTTTTCGACTTTTCGATTTTTGAATTGATGGATTTTTTTTTATTCCTCGCTTTTTTCCTTTTTGGATTTTCAATTTATTGTAAACTCTAGATTTTTCAATTCTGGGACTGTTTAATGCTTCGATTTCTCAATTTTTAAACTTTTCGATGTTTTAATATTTCATTTTTTAAAATTCTAGGTTTTTCGATATCTCGAGTTTTCAGTTCTTCTATATTTCAATTTTTCGATTTTTTTAATTTTAATTTTTGATTTTCCAGTTTTTCTTTTTTAAAATTTTTCGATTATTCAATTTTTTAATTTCTCAATTTATCGAATTCAGATGTTTCGTTGTTTTGATTGTTCAATTTCTCAATTTTTCAATTTTTAACTTTCCCTTTCGGCTTCCGACTCCTCAATTTCTCGATCCTCCGATTTTTCGATTTCTCGAAGTCTCAGTTTTTGAATTTTTCGATGTTTCGATTTTTGGATTTCTCGGATTTTCGATTTTTTTCTTTTGAGCTTTTCAATTTCTGTATTTTCCAATTTTTCAGTGCCCCGATTTTTCAATTTTTCAAATTGAATTGGATCTCTCGATTCTTCAATTTTGCGATATTTTAATTATTCATTGTTTTAAATTTTAGTTTTTTCGATTTCTCGATTTTTTGACTTTTCAGTTCTTCAGTATTTAAATTTTTGAATTTTTCAAATTTTTGCGTTAAATTTTCAGTTTTCTGATTTCTCAATTAATCTATTTTTGATTTTCCCACTTCTCAAAGTTTCGATTTTTCAGTTCTTCAATTCTTCGATCTTTCGAGTTCGCTTTATTGGTTTGTCGATTTCTCAATTTTTGGATATTTCTTTCAGTTTTGATATTTTGCAATACTTCGATTCTTTCATTTTTCGACTTCTAGATTTTTCTATTTTTTATTTTTGGATTTTCAGTTTTTTGTTTTTTATTTCAATTTCTCAATTTTTCAACTTTTTCATATTTTAATTTTTAAATTTCTAGATTTTTCAGTTTCTCGAGTTTCCAGTTCTATATTTTAATTTTTTAAATTTACGAATGTTTAAATTTTTTGAGATGTCAATTCATTGAGATTCGGATGTTTCGATGTTTTGATTATTCAATCTCTCGCTTTATCAATTTTTCCATATTTAAGTTTTCGATTTTTCGATTTTGGCCTACTTCGGTTTCTCAATTTTTTGATTTTTCGACTTCTCGATTTTTCGACTCCTCGGTTTTTTTTGTCTTTTGATTTTTCGATTTCTCGATGTCTCAATTTTTGAATTTTACAATGTTTCGATTTTTGATTTATCCGATTTTTCAATTGTCCAATTTTTTAAATTCTCGACTTCTCGATTCGTTGATTTTTCAGTTTTTCGATTATTAAATTTTAGATTTTTATTTTTATTTATTTTTTTTGATTTTTTGATGTTTGGATTTCTCCATTTTTCAGTTTTAGGATATTTTAACTTTTCAATGTTTTAAATTTTAGATTTTTCGATTTTGGCCTACTTCGGTTTCTCAATTTTTTGATTTTTCGACTTCTCGATTTTTCGACTCCTCGGTTTTTTTTGTCTTTTGATTTTTCGATTTCTCGATGTCTCAATTTTTGAATTTTACAATGTTTCGATTTTTGATTTATCCGATTTTTCAATTGTCCAATTTTTTAAATTCTCGACTTCTCGATTCGTTGATTTTTCAGTTTTTCGATTATTAAATTTTAGATTTTTATTTTTATTTATTTTTTTTGATTTTTTGATGTTTGGATTTCTCCATTTTTCAGTTTTAGGATATTTTAACTTTTCAATGTTTTAAATTTTAGATTTTTCGATTTTTTAGTTCTTCAATATTTTTTTATTTTTCAAATTTTCACGTTTCTAAATTTTCAGTTTGCCGATTTCTAAAGTATTTTTTTTATTTGTCCACTTCTGGATTTCCTAAAGTTTCGATTTTTCACATCTTCAATTCCTCAATTTTTCGATTTTTTAAGATTACGATTTTTCAATTTTGCTTTTTTAGATTTTCGATTTCTCAATTTTCCAATTTTTTAATTTCTCAATTTTTTGAATATTTCTTTCAGTTATGAGATTTTTCAATATTTCAATTTTTCGACTTTTCGATTTTTGAATTAATGGATTTTTTTTGATTCCTCGCTTTTTTCCTTTTTGGATTTTCAATTTATTGTAAACTTTAGATTTTTCAATTCTGGGACTGTTTAATGCTTCAATTTCTCAATTTTTAAACTTTTCGATGTTTTAATATTTCATTTTTTAAAATTCTAGGTTTTTCGATATCTCGAGTTTTCAGTTCTTCTATATTTCAATTTTTCGATTTTTTTAATTTTAATTTTTGATTTTCCAGTTTTTCGTTTTTCAAATTTTTCGATTATTCAATTTTTTAATTTCTCAATTTATCGAATTCAGATGTTTCGTTGTTTTGATTGTTCAATTTCTGAATTTTTCAATTTTTAACTTTCCTTTTCGGCTTCCGACTCCTCAAATTCTCGATCCTCCGATTTTTCGATTTGTTTTGTTTTTTAGATTTTTTGCTTTTCGGTTTCTCGATTTTTCGATGTTTCGATTTTTGATTTATCCGATTTTTCAATTGTCCAATTTTTTAAATTCTCGACTTCTCGATTCGTTGATTTTTCAGTTTTTCGATTATTAAATTTTAGATTTTTATTTTTATTTTTTTTTTTTGATTTTTTGATGTTTGGATTTCTCCATTTTTCAGTTTTAGGATATTTTAACTTTTCAATGTTTTAAATTTTAGATTTTTCGATTTTTTAGTTCTTCAATATTTTTTTATTTTTCAAATTTTGACGTTTCTGAATTTTTAGTTTTCGGATTTCTCAATTAATCTATTTTTTTATATTCCCATTTCTCCACTTCCTAAAGTTTCGATTTTTCAGTTCTTCAGTTCTTCGATTTTTCGATTATTCAGGTTTTTGATTTTTCAATTTTTCGATTTTTTAAGTTTGCGATTTTTAGACTCTGCTTTTTTGACTTTTTTGTTTCTCAATTTTTTAATTTCCTAATTTTTTGAAATTTCGTACAATTTTGTGAGTTTTCAGTTTTTCGATTTCTCAATTTTAACTTTTCAATTTTTTAAATTTATTAGTTTTTTTCAATTTTCGGAATTTTTTAATTTTCGATTGTCCAATTTTTTTTATTTTTCGATTTTCCAATTTTTCGATGTTTCGATTTTTGAATTAACCGATTGTTCAATTTCTCAATTTTTAAATTTTAGATTTTCCAATTTTAATTTTTTTGATTTTTTTATTTTTTGATTTCTCGATTTTACAATTTTCCCATATTTGAATTTTTCAGTGTTTTAAATTTTCGATTTCGAGGATTTACTGTGTTACAGTAGTCATCAGTCATTACTCATCAAGAACGATTATTGCTGTGCGTTAAAATGCCTACATACTGATAAGCACGTACATACAAGACACATTTAAGGCTGTTTTAGTATAATTTTTGCAATTTTAAATTTATTTCTTGATGTCTAAATCGTATATATTTAAATGGTGATGAATATTTTGTGATACAATCTTAGGATAAAATGCATTTTAGTTTCAAAAATAATATGTATTTAATGATTTGACTACCGTTAATAAAAAAAATACGTAAGAAGATGTTCATATTGAATTAATTTGGTGTTCATAGTTTGATGATAATCCATAGTTATTCTTTACCGCCACTTCATAGTGAAGCGAGTGAGAGAGTAAAATATATATTCATTCTTTTCTACATGGGAAAGTGATTGTCCGTATAGGTTGTCCAACTATAATATACTTAAACAATGCTATGACTCTACTATGGTATTATAGGTCCAAGCTCCAGCGAAAACTCGTCCAGCTTAAGCGCCCCTAACAAAAGCACCCATGGAAAGTGGAAACGGAAAAAGGGACAAGCCCCGACCAGACCCATCCCTCAAAGAAGAATAATCAAGTCTTTGCCTATTGTGGAGGTCCGACGCGAGTTGGAACTGATTGAAATTCAACAACAGGGTTTAGAGAAACAAGGGGTGCGTTTGGAGCAGATTATAAGGGAGAAGTGTGAAGCTCCGGGAATTAGTCCAGGTGGGCGGACCGATCTTCGTTTGTCACCTATATTATAATATATTTTTCAGACGACGCCTTGTCTCCAGAAATCGAAGACATGATTCTTCAGTTGTTTGAACTCGTCAATGAGAAAAACGAACTCTTTAGACGACAAGCGGAGCTTATGTATTTGTAAGTTTGTTCATTTTTTTTTTTTTTTTTGAGTGAAGTCCAAGATTGGTTTTCAGGCGGAGGCAACACAAACTGGAGGAAGAACACGCCGATATAGAATACCAGATCAGATGCTTGATGCTGCAGCCAGAAGCCAATAAAACGGATTCGGATAAAGCCAGAGAAGAGGAGCTTATAAATAGATTAGTAGAAATAGTTGAAAGGAGGAATGAAATAATTGAATGTCTTGAGATGGATCGCGTGCGAGAAGCCGAGGAGGATGACAGTATCAATAATCAGCTTAACCTGTTTTCGCTGAAAAAGGAAGAAGATAAATCTGCCGAGACGAAAAGCGCCAAGAAAGAAAAGAAGAAGCATAAAAAAGAGAAGAAGTCCAAATTGAAAGCTCAGAAAATTGATGCCGATAAAGATATTGATGAATCTGAAAGTTCGACGTCTTCGCTTAAGGATAAAAAGAAGAAAAAGTTTAACATATTTTGAGTACTTATTCATGTTATTTGTGGTTATTGTTATGAAAGCTGTGCTTTACATGATTTATCGAGATTTGAAGAAATCCTTACGTTCGTTAGTGTCATTTTGTGATTTTTTATGTATTAGTATTTCATTTATATAAAGTTATTTTTCAGTAGATTTGTTGTTTTGTTTTCCTGTACAGCAGCAAAAAAATTTTAAACAATTAAGTAACTAACTTGTTGACCCTAATGACGCCACGGTTTAAAAATAGGTCACAATATTTGTAAATCGTATTGACGCATGAATCGACCAATCAAAAACTATCGCGAATACAGCGCCACCGTCGGCCATTTCGGTAAGTGGCGTTCTGTGAAGTACCTTGTTCTCAGACACGTCTATATAAATTTACGAGATACACACCGTCATTAAAACAAGTTTTCTCATTGTGCTTTTGCTGCGAACCCTGAAAAGGTGTCCAAGATGTTTTATTACAACGACGAACTCAAAGAAAACATGAAAAATCGGTGAGAGATTTTATGGTTAATTTCACAAAATTGCTCGTTTTCACGCGATTGTGTTTTAAGGACACCTAACCTCCAAACGTAACTAAAAATTAAACATTATTGTTTCCAGCTTGTCTTCCATGTGGGAAAAAACGCGGAACATGGAAATCTGCAACGCTTTGTAAGTTTTACGTTTGCGTTACCCTTGTAACCTTTTCTATTTTAGTCAACCCAGCTGGGGAATCACTGTGCTCGGGTTTTTGCCGGTCGTTGGTAACTTCGCCAATCTGGGTTGTGCCGTTCACGCATACCAGCATGGAGAGACCTGGCATGGCCATCAGAAGTTGGCAGAAGCCGTGGTAGGGATTTCCCTGGATTTGGCAACCATGGGGTCCACCACCAATGGTCTGAAAGTGGCACAAGCTGGCATCACTCATGCTAATACTGCATTGTTGGCTATTGGTTGTAACATGGTAGCTAAAGATGTGGCTGTGCGCACTGCCACAAGAGTGGGTGCTTTTGGGGTTCTCCACTATGTTATGGATCCCTTTTACCACAAATATTAAATAAAAACAGTTTGTTTGTCTGTAAGCAATGTTAGTGTAGCTAATAAAGCTTTTGCCCGATTTTTGATTGTCTTGGACCCAGTACCGATTTTGGTCCACAGATGTCCCCTTACGTAACCAACAACGCTCATGTAACTGTCCCTCTTCTATGACTACCCTTCAGTCACCCTCGACGAGCATCACAGAACATCCTAAATTAAGAACACTGGCTCATTGAAAAATTACGAATTGTAAAACGTGGCGCCATCTCGTTTCGACGGATGAACTAATTACACTATATCGAGGTTGGGGGAGGGGGATCCAGGGATCATTGACATCGACACATTGATTTGATTTGTAGGTTAATGGTACCGAAATTCACTTAAATAAATAATTTAACAAGAAAAACAACATTGTGCTATAAAAATTTATTTTATTGTTAAGAAGCCTACTAACAATATAACTGAAGTGAAAACATCAGTTTGTTAATAACTAATCAATGCACAAAATCTGAAAATTCTAACAATTTTAAAAACAGTCAGAGGAGAAAATTACATAATAATTTTCGTTGATACATGCAGTTAAATGTGTATATAGGGTAACATAATAGAAACGAATTCATGTTTTTACAGCTACAATGGTTACGATTATAAACAGAGTCCAGGCAGGAGTTGGTAACTTGCAATTGATTCCTTACTGCATATAGTAAGGATTTGCGTGCAGACTGAAAAACTAATTCAGAGTTAAGGGTTTATGCGTTAACCAAATTTGTGGTGGTGTAAAACTGAGTTTGTAATGGAGTGATCGTTGCCTTTTGTCCCCAATTGGACACCCGTGAATTTGAATGAAAACTACAAATTTTTGCTTGTTCAGTCATTCCTGTTTAGACTCTGGTTATGCGGTATGTGTCAATAAACAAATGTTCATAATACAAATAATATAAGTTACAGGTAATGTGAGTAAGTGTAAAAGGAGACAGGAAAAAAGGAAACTGAGAATGATTTGGAGTTAAAGTGTGCAACTTTTTCAAAAGATAACATCGAATCCTGTGTGAGCACAAACTCAACAGCATAATTGTCATAATTAAGATAATGTAGTACTGTATTAAAATGAGGTAAATGCAGTGGTATTATTAGTATTACCTATTGGGAAGAATTACTATATCAATGTTGTATCATACAATACCTAGGGATTTGAATTTTCCCTGTAACAACAAATTTATAATTGAATGCAAGTATTTTAGTCAACTGTGCATATAGAAACTATATGCACAGTTATATATTGCATATATAAAAATATATATTAACAATTTAAACCTGTACTTCACCAAACTAAACAGAGTAAAAACTGTGCCAAACAACAAGTTTTAAATTTGATACAAAAAAAAAGTAACGCTATTTGGAAAGACCTTCATATGTATAGCGCCATTAAGGTAGTCCAGTTCCTTACATTTCAAAAGTTGGTGTTGCCAATTGAATTTTTTTATATTGTTATATGTATATTAAAATAAGAAATTAAGCTCTGGTCTTCCCATTTTGTTAAAATTAAATAAATCATTTTTTATTTTATTAATGCAATTGAATGATTTATTAATTCTTTTACACATGGTGTATCAACATTTCTAAAAAATGAAAATTTACTACTAAAGCGGAAACAACGATGCATCTCGATGAGGAATTTTTAATAAATAAAATTAATAGCATATACTTGTGTAAAGTCGTTAGCTCCAGTATGACTACAGTGATTAAATGCTGTGCGCTTTTAAAGGCAAACGGTGATGCATTGAATGATGAAGTTTTAGATGGGTGACTTTTTGAACAAAAATATAATTAAACAAACACAACCGGACCTTTGACGAAATATAACAGTATGAATGGCGGTATGAATTCCCCCAGAAAGGAGAAAAAAAGTACACAAATGTATACTAGTGATTCATATCATAAAGAGTTTTGGATGAGAGCAGAGCATATATTTAAATCTATGGAATCTAAGAAAACGTCTCGCAGTTTTAACAGGTTGGATAACAACTATAAACGGTTTCCTTCAAGTTGCTAGTACTTTACAAAACCTAGGTTATGACAAATTTCCAACCAGGCCATTTAATCAGGATAATTGAAAATTTTTTGGTCAATTGAGACAGTATGGTGGTAGAACTAATAATCCTATGTGTGTTGCTTTCGTGCCATATTTCAAATTATCGATAAAAAAAATCTAAAAACATTTGTAGTAGTTCCAACTGTAAGCACGATAGTGATGAAGTACTGTTAATTAACATTAAATCACTTTTTAAAACCAAACAAAAAAAATAGACAACCGGACATTTAGCAATATAGTGAGATACCAGATGTAGATACATTAGAAACACTGACAATTAATGAAGTTCAAACACTGGTGCAATTTTAAATAGCATTGTGCCCGAATGTGAATAATATTGTGAGAATCTGTTGCACAAAGGTGAGGCGACAGATATACTGAATAAACTAGAACGAGGTGTAAAATGTTCCTACTAAAAATAGTTATTTGATGCAAAAGAAGAATTTAGAAACTATTGATGCGTTTATAAAAACGAAAACATTTTTAGTTTTTCACTTGAGATGCATGTTGTTTGTGCTTCGGCAATAATTCTATTTTTTAGAACACTTCATATTGAATATCTAATTAGAATTACTGAATAAAATGATTTATTGTAGGACTGAAATCATAAGCGCCTTAATTGATTTTTTTGGGGACCGATATAAAAAGAGCTACTTTACGATTCGATTTGCGGCCCTAAAGTTTTATTTTTTCAGACTGAACTGTCAAAATTACTTTTTTGGACGGAAGTGTCATATTTACTAACTTTTCTTTGAAGTCCTTGCATGTTTACCTTACATATTTTTTAATCAAGCACTTTTAGCTAATGGAATTTTTCTTGTATCTTACCAAATTACCTTAACAATAAGATGAGATCTATTTCTGTTTATTATATTATAAAAATCACTGAAGCATGAGGGATCAAATATTTGAAACATTTATGAAGTGAGATGAGATTGGTTCCCAAATGTTTGTTGCAAAATAGCCTTTCTTCTACATTCTCTTAATTGAAAGGAAAAGTAGGCTTCCGATTTTGTTGCAAATCCTTCAAGGTTTTTGTCCAACAAGAAAAGCAACAGTTTTCTAATCTCAAAAACGTAAATAACTATATACCTACGAAACAAGTACCATTACAGCAGTGGGGTGTAAGTAATACAACTTACATTTTTGTTGATGAGTACGTGATTGCCGTTGATTAGAAGTTGTATTATTAATTCCGCAAAAATTAGCAAATATTAAAATATGGAAATCCTTCTGTGTATGCTAGCAAAAATACATAGGTACATGCCAAGCGTGGTTTAGATTTGAAATTCTAGTGTATTTTGCTTGTTTCTATAAACTTGTTTTTCAAATTTAACTAGGAATTTTTACATGTGGTGTTCTAAAAAATGTTGCATACACCACGTCCAAAGAGAACTTTTTCAAACTTTAGATGGGCCGAAAAACTTCCTCTTTATAGCCTTGGTACATAAATAACTAAAATCTTGAGATGACGTTCTAAAATTTTTGGTGGCGATGATTAGACATATTTTGGCTAGCATTTTACACAATATTCTTAAAATACATTTAAAATTCCATAACAATTAGTTGAGTATTATCTATTAAAAAAAAAAAACGACGACGGCAACCGACAGTTGGATTCTGAATACCTACCTTTATAAATTCTGAAAGGTATGAGAAAAACCTTGAAATCAACAGTTCATCAAATAGACCCCTCTCTTGTTTGCTGTTGGAAAGTAAAAGTATATATAATTAGATTAGATTAAATTTTATGTTGTAAGCGTCAAAAATAAACAATGTGGAGTCACATTTAGTGATGAAGCCAAATATTGAAAACCTGATGACTTTGGGAGGTAAATGTTATGATGTATTCACATCTGACAAGGAATAGAACCACAGATTCATTTTAAAGTGAAACTTTTTGTTTATAAAATTCAATTCTATCCTTATTTTTGTATTATTAATAATAATAATAATTGTTTTGTTAATCTAATCAATGCATATCATTACTTGGTCTTAGTACCCGTAATGATAGAAGTCTTGCTTGAATGCCGGTCATTTCCGGGTCAGTGGTGGGTCTTAATAATATTATTCTTTTTAGCAACATTAAAGTGGCACTTTTTAAGCAAACAGTTGTTATTGCTTTCAGTGTTAAGTGATAGAAATTGATCTAATGTTATTTAAATAGAATCAGTAAAATTAACTGATCTATTCATTTTTTTTAAGGTTCCTTGAAACAGTTCTAAGAGCGTATGAATAAATAAATTTAATTGTTCAGTATCTTGCCAAAAACTCAAAATGGTTCGCAATTTTTTTTACAAATTTATTTTTTAATTCCCGAGCGTAAGCTAAGGAAGTATAGTAATCGCGTCCATCGGCCGAATTGCCACTTTTTTTACGGTAACATTTATCATTAAATATACAGTAATACATTATTAAACTACACAGAAAGGAGCATGTCGTAATAAATTTCACGAAAGATTTACCTAATAAAACTTTAGATAAAATTAAATTGAATAAAATTTATCAAAAACAATAATAAGAAAAAATGTTTTTATGGATGCTTCAATTAATTCTTTTTCTTTCGCATCGAGTAAATATTTTTGGTACATTTTGCTGTGCGTTCCAGTTTATTTAGTGAATCGTCTGGTAGTTGCAATTTCCCGTTCATGATGTTAACTAGTTTTTTTGTGTATGTAAACAAGAATAATTCTGTAAATTTTGTGATAATGCTGTCCGATATTGTTTCAGAATGTGGACATTTTTTAAATTTAAAGTTAACCCATAGTTTCAACACTTGAGTGATTCTATTTTGTAAATTATTTTTATAGAAAACACTTTCTATAATTTTGTTCAAAATGTAATAAGTTATTATTAAGTTATTTATTAGGTCAGTATTTGCATAGCACAAACTTTTCTTGGTGTCAGTATATTCTTTTAATAAATTGTACTTGTGGTGTATATCTGTCGCCTCACCTTGATGCAACAGATTCGCACAACACGATTCACATTCGGGAACTTCAATGCTATTTAAAATTGCACCGGCAACATAACCAATAGCAGTGGTTTCTACATGAGAAATATTTGTTTGAACTTCGTTAATTGTCAGTGTTTCGAATGTATCTACATCTGGTATCTCACTATATCGCCAAATGTCCGGTTGTCTTTTTTTAATTAAATTTTTGTTTGGTTTTAAAAAGTGATTTAATGTTAACAGTACTTCATCACTATCGTGCTCACAGTTGGAACTACTACTAATGTTTTTAGAGAAATTTTTTATTAGTAATGATTTGAAATATGGCACGAAAGCAACACATGTAGGGTTATTATTTCTACCACCATACTGCCTCAATTGGCCAAAAAAATTTTCAATTGGATCCTGATTAAATGCCCTGGTTGGAAATTTGTCATAACCTAGGTTTTGTAGAGTACTAGCAATTTGAAGGAAACCGTTTATAGTTGTTATCCAACCTGTTAAAACTGGAGGACGTTTTCTTTGATTCGCTTTTTTTGGAATAAATTCCATAGATTTAAAAATATGCTTTGCTCTCATCCAAAACTCTTTATGATATGAATCACTAGTATACATTTGTCTACTTTTTTTCTCCTTTCTGGGGGAATTCATACCGCCATTCATACTGTCAAATAATTTATCAAAAAATTTTATAATAGTTACCGTATCTAAAGCTTCGTCATTCAGTGCATAATCACCGTTTTTGCTGTTTGCGTTAAAAAGTGCACAGCATTTAATTGCTGCAGCAGTGCTAGAACTAAAGACTTTTACACAATTTGAGACTTTCATTTTTTTCACTTTTGAGGGATTGACGTGATGTTCAGTTATACCTTTTAGCAACCCAATATTATGACTTTTACAGATATTATAAGCACTCCATATGTGATCCCACTTAGCTACTTGAGACTTACTACACATTGAAAATTTTAAATCTTTATCTAATAGATTATTTCTTATACTTTTCAACAGATGAGGAGGGTCGTAAATATGAATTACATGGATTTTTTTGTTAATTACTATAACTTCTTCTTCAATGTCAGGATTTTCCTCTTTGCTTTTTTTTAATAATGTGTTTATGGCACGAACATTTGTTGTCCCTTGATCGCAAATAGATGCAATCACTTTTAAGCCTATTGCTTCAGCGCGTACTACAATATCTTTGTAAAAACTGACAATTTTATCTGCTGACATTGAGTCTTTACAGAATGAAAATGCAACGGGCTGTTTCCATCTTTTGAAAATGCCACGCAACATAAATACCATTACATGGTCGGCAATTTTCTCAGTTCTTTGGCTGCCGTCATCCTCTAAACCTACCACGTAGTCCTGGTGTTTATTATAATCTAAATGAGGCTGAATAGCCATTTCATCAAATATCAAAGTACAAAGCTTATCTCTATGTTCAAAATTTTCAATTTTCTTTTCCAAAGCGTGAAATATGGTGTCATTAATACCAGGTTCAATACTAACAGCGCTTAACACTTGTTGCAGCGTACTTACAGAGGGAAGACATAGCAGTTTATACAGTAGGCGATACAATTTGGGACTAGTCTTCCACATAATAATACAATTAATTTTTTCTTCGTCTGTGAAGGTCCTGCCGTACTTCTTCTTCCCGTAGTTTCGAAATTGACACTTTAAAAGAGTCTGCTGAAATGGTGTCATATTATTCAGCATTTCTTCAAGTTTTCTGTTTTCTTTCAAAATTTTGGAAGTTTCTTTCACCAACTTCTTACTTGTCAAAATTTTTTTTTCCAAACCACGCACCTTTCTTTTCAAACGTTTAACTTCATTCTTTAATTCATTGCTCTGAAGAGCTATCAAAAAAAAAAGATGTTTAAAAAAAATGTTCGCTCGACATGAAAAAATTAAATATTGGTACCTACTAAGGTTGGGTATAATAACACTAACAAAATTATTTTTAATCTTTATTCTTTTTTAAAGAAAACTATTTATAAATAATGTAAATATGTACTACCAACGAAAGGAATCAGGTATCTAATGTGTCTACCAAAAATTTGGTAAACTACTAGGTAATGGAAGCAGTTATGAAAGGAATAGTTTAAAGAAACTCAAAAAATAAATAAGGGTGGATGTTTAAAGAGAAAAGAATAATATCAGCATTCAAATGAACATCACAGTGAGTTAACAAGAAAATTGGAAAACAAGATGAAAACAGGAATTTGAGAGCATGTTTTCAACACACTGCTGGGTTTATTGCAGGAAATTTAGGAGAAAACAAACATCTGCAGGAGATTCTAAGTTAAAAAAAATTGCATGCTGATTTTATAATCTACATAATATTTACACGTAAGTTGTGAAGGTAGAATCTTCTTTTAACTTACAGACAGTAGCCATCTTTACCTATGGTGAAGGATGAGACAAAAAAGTGCATGAACCTATCTGAAACTTATCATCTTATCAACAAAAGTAAGAAAAACCACCAGACGCAATCGTAGTCATTAATAGTACCTAAATGTAGTTTGGTGTGTTTAAATTTCTTATAAAAAAAAAAGAAACAATAATTGCAAACGTACCAATAATTTGCCTTTCATGTGGTGCCTCGTCTTTTTCTAAAATGTCCACATCATCTTCTTTATCAAAATCATCAGTGACGTCATGTTCCCGTTCTTCGCAAGGATCATTTGCAACAATTGTAGGTGTTTTTGCCACGATGCGAGCAACTAAAAAATAATACAGTATATAAGTCAGTGTCATATTTAAGAGTTTTAACGTATATAGCCATATTTTTTTGTATGTGCATAGTAGACAGTATAATCAAAATAATAATACTCGATGCCCTTTTTCATTTTTCAACCACAAGACCACAGATTTGTGATCTTGAAATGTTATATTATGTTGATATAGTCCAAAAGAAAAATATATTTATACTCAAACTATCACCGCGACAGCACGGGATGTAGCGTATGAGATACAATTCCGGGCGTTGCTAATAAGTATAAAATAAATTAAGGGAGTAAAGATATATCATCACCTTTAACATTTCTATCAGAGTCATGATCGAGTGTACCAGAACGTTTCCTTTCAAATGTGTGAAGTCCACTTGTAGAGGGTACTTCCTGCAAATCTTGGTAAAAGTCGAGCTCAATTGTAGTACTTGTCTCATAATTATTTGGGCAATCAATCAAGTTGAGATCGCAGTCATTGTTTGCAGCAACCGCTAGAAAATTGTTACCTTATTAGAATTATTGTAAAAATGTTCACAGAGTAATGCGAATAAGTCGTTTTTAATGTTTCTCAATATCATGCAACATGCAACCCAAATTGTGACCTGTGTGTAATGTATAGTAATACCGTATCATAACAAAATAGCAATTTAAATAGCTCTACAAAAGTTTATTTATACCTGTAGGTAAACCCAAAGATGGTAAGATATCCTTCTTTAGACGATGGTTTATTAGGATATTCTCTGGAAAATGTCTTCCACAGATTCTAAAGTGTTTATGAACATCTTCCGGTTTGCGATTTTTCAAATGTTCGTTTCCGCAAAGGTTTATCCATTTTTTAAAACGTGTGATTTCCTTTTTTGGATCCGGAAAGCGCAACACGGGCACTCCTTTGGGGATTCTACCACAAAGTGGAACACAGCAGCTAACGTGTTGATATTCCATTATTACCTGTTAAAAAAGTGTTGTAAATAATGTAACGCATTTAACTAATATAGGCTTCTATAATATGTATTTTTAAATTTGAAACTTCAAAATTGTCAGAGTTCAAACAATATTTTCTTCATTTAAAAACATTTCACATTGATAAGCTAAGGAAAAACAATATTTTGAAATTATATCCAAAAGTTTTATAACTACAGAAATGCCTATAAATATCGGAGCTTAGCCCTTATGACTTTCTTAGGAAGTCTGCAAGGCACTAGAGCCTCACGATTCTAAAACATATATGAATGTGACTTGGAGTAAACTATTTCTGCCAACAAAGCCACAGAAGAAACATTCTAAACATATAAACTACCGCCCTTACCTGCTGCACTTTAAAGGCAAACTGCTTTCTAGTAACAAAAAAGTCTCTTAAAATGGTGAAAAGTTTCTAAACTAATAAACAAAAATGCGAAAGAACGGAACGAGAACACAAAAACGAACAGTAACACAAACGCAAACAATAACACTATAAACTACAACGAAGAACGAAAACGAGGAACGAAGAACGAAAACGAGGAACGAAGAACGAAAACGAGGAACAAATAACTCAAAATAACAACAAAACGCAAAAGGAAACCACTAAAACACCAGAAAAAATCACTTCGATACGCTAAACGAGCTCGCTCAGAAAATCAAATAAATTGACATAAAAAACACACTCTTGATTCAAATTTCAATTTTCATTGCGCTGCAGTAGCGCCATCTGCATTCGACGGAGTGAACTATCTGTCAGTTTATGAATGAAATCTTTTTACTACGATTTTTACAAATGACATGACAAAACCCACTGAGCTGAAGGGCCCTGACGAGCATACTTACCTGGCGTAGGGGTTACCGTGATCAATAAGGCGGTTCCCCCAGGGTGAGGCCCTTCCATTGCACCTAGGTCGGGCTGACCCCTGCGATTATCCCTAATGCGGATAACTCGGGCGCACAATTTTTGGTAGTCGGGACTGCGTACGCGCTGTCCCGGTCTTAAATAATAAAAACACAAAAATGCTTTGATGTTCCAAGGGACTAGGGATGGGGAACTGTTACTTTTTTGAGGAACAGGAACAATTTGTTACTGTTCCATTTTAGGAACAGTTTATGGGTCTTTCCAAATTAAGTGTAAGGTTAAACATTCTAAATATTTCTGTCACCTTTCCCTTTCTAATTACTTGTTAATTGTCTGAAAAGGTATAAAACAACAAATTTTGGAAATAATAAAACACAGTTAGTCCGACTTGCAACGAAGAGTTTGATTTTCCCAAAATAACATAACAAAAACTGGTGTCAGAAGTGGGATGTCACAAACATTATAATCCAAAGAGCTGTTGAAGATTGATTTATCTGGGAAAGTTTCAAGAAACTTCCATTATCAGAAAAGGATCAAAATTTATACCAGATTGGATTCGTGAACTGGTCCATTGGGAAAGTTCGTTCACAGAACTAAAGAAAAATCATCCCGTGTTCAAGATCATCAAAGACTGTCAAACTGTAAGCAGAACGATTTCTTTTTTCCGACTTTACTTTGTACTTGGTTATTACTTATTAGAACTGTCCTGGTATTCATTCCAATTATCATCAATCGCGATGCCGTACACGCAAGACGTAGCTAACAATGATCCTCCTGAAAGTAGTGAAAAAGTGTGTAAAAAGTGTAAACTTAAAATTATGGACACTTGTATAAAGTGTTATAAGTGTGATGATATATATCACAAAAGTTGTCATCGTCAACTAATCTCCAAGGGGAAAAAAGCCATAATAATCAATGATAGCGTGATGCTATGTGAAGAGCACTGCAGAGAAATAAATACTATAGTTGAATCGTTTCAAGACTTAATTAAAGAATTAAAGAACGAGATTAATATCCTCAAAACTGAAAATGGTATAACTAGACAAGATAACAACAAACTAAAAAATGATTTAGAGGAGATGCAATTGCAGTTCAGAGAGATAGGAGCGTCCAAAGAGAAGGAGATTAAAACACAGAAAGATGAAATCGCAGCTATTAAGTTGCAAAATAATAATTATAAACACATAAATGATAAATTAAAGAAGGAATTAGAATTAACACAGCTACAGTTCGATGAGCCACAAAATGATCAAAATATAAGAAACGCTATCTCCAAGATAAGAGAGGACCTTACCATTAACATCTTATCACTTAAAGAAGAACTTAATGAAAACATAATTAATAGATTTAATGAAATGCAGCAACACTTACTTTCACAAGTCAAGGATAAAGAGGAAACGTCACATAAAATTGCAGGAAAGACATATAGTGACATTACCAAAAGATCCAAGGATGTGGTTATTCTAAAGCCGAAACAAACGCTGGGTTCGATCGAAACAATCGATATAATTAAAAAAAAACATTAAACCCAATGAAGTCGAAGTAAGTTGGTATTACGAATATTCGTCCCTTGAAGGAAGGTGGTGTTGCTATAGGATGTAATACGACGGAGCAAATGGTGAAATTAGAAGCTGAAGTTATATCTAAATTAGGAAATACATTTCTTGTTAAGAAGTCTTCGTTACAAAACCCGAAGATTAAAATAGTAGGACTTGGTGATGAATTAAATGAAGAGGACCTAAAGATTTGTCTGAAAAAACAAAATCCATCGCTTAAAGATATTAACGGAACATTTAAACTGTTAGTGTGTAAAAAAATGAAAAAAAGATATCTAGCCATTGTAGAAGTAGATCCGGAAGTATTTGCGGAGATAATGAGATTGAAGACTGTGTTTATTCAGTGGTGTGAATGTGACATATATGAACACATCAGTATATATAGATGCTTTAAATGTGGAGGATACAATCATACCTCAGAGAAATGCAACGAAAATCCACGTAAATGTCTAAATTGTGGTAGGGATGACCACCCAGAGAAAGATTGCATAAATGACCCTGTATGCATTAATTGTTCAAAAGTTAATAAGAATCAAAAATTAAATCTGACGGTGAATCATTCGCGTTTTGATTATGACTGTGCAGTTTATAAAAGATTGTGTGAAATAGGCAAGACCAAGATAAGATATTCGATATAGCAACCAAATGAGAAAGATGAAAAAAGGAATTTCAAACTTCTTTTTCTAAATGTGCAGTGTTTAAGAAACAAAATTAATATTTTAGATGCAATGTTAACAGACAATAAATTTAGTGCTCTAGCGATAAGTGAACACTGGCTTGAAGAAGAGGAAGTTGCAGCTCTCAGACTAGATACTTACATCATAGCAGATTTTTTTGTCAGAAAACAGCACGGCCATGGGGGTGTGATGCAGTTTCTCAACCCGGAGATCGAATACAAGGCACTGTCCAATGTAAATAATCTGTCTATTGAACTACAAGTTGAATTATGTGGATTGTTTTTGCCCAAATTAGATTTGTATATTATTGTAATTTATAGGCCCCCGTCGGGTGATCTGAAATTGTTCATAGACTTACTTATGCAGTTATTTAATGTCCTTGATTACAAAACCAAACACATAATAATGGGTGGAGACTTCAACATACACTTTGAGAAAGATAATGATTGGTCTACTCACATATTAATTGATACGTTTCACAGCTTTAACATGTACCCTTTGGTTAAATTTTTTACACGTGGCAAGGCTCGACTCGATAATGTATTCACAAATATAGATACTAATTTAATTACTGTGGAACCTATGAATTTAGGTGTTTCTGATCATACTGGAGTTGTAGTAGATATAAAAAATATAGTTCCCTGCAACAATAAATCCTCTAAAATTATTAAGATTTCCAGACCCATCACAAACGTTGGCAAATTTAATTTTTTTCAATATCTTGATAATATAGATTGGTCTTTTGTGGAAGGGGATTTAGAGGTGCAGGAGAAATTTAATTTCTTCTTAAACATTATCATGTATTTCTTTAACTTGTGTTTTCCTATTAGAAGAACTCTTATTAAAAAGAGATATAATATTCTATGTAATAATTGGTTTAATTCAAATCTGAAGCAAATGCGAGGAACGCTAAAATTAATAAATGATGCTTATCGATTACATGGAACATTAGAACTAAAGAAAACGCTTTCACAATTTAAGAAAAAATATAATCTGGCCATTAGGGAGGCTAAAATAAAAACTAATGACAAATTTATAGTAGATCATAGAGCTAATCCAAGAATTCTGTGGAACATTGGGCCGTATGATTAAAAGTGAGCATTTGCTCGTACTCGTTGTTTTTGGAGCATATGCTTCGCTATATATGAATAAAACAGTGAGCAAACGGTTTTGCTCATACTTTGGTGTTGGAGCTTGAGCAAGTGCTCTAAATTTGAAGTAGCTGCTTACACTTGAGCAAATGATATGAATAAAAGAGAGCGTTTACTTACATTATGGAGCACTTGCTCACAAATTGATGCGTCTGCTATAAAGGAGACGCAACTTCTGTTGGATGGAACAGTATTTCGGAAAATGGCAGACATGGTTGTTCTACGAAAAACTAAACATTATAAGGAGCGTAGGGAAACCAACATAGGTGACTATAAAACCTTGTACAGGTAAGCGTAGAACATTTGTCATTATAAGTATATTACGATTAATAGCACGTATTGCAGATTTTCTGCAGAAAATGTTACTTGGTTAGCAGATTACTTTTTAAATGATTGTACTGAAACCAGGGGAGGTGCTTTGTCGCCAAAAATGAAAATGAAAATTTTTTTGAGGTGTTTGGCCAATCCCGGTTTTCAGTCAGGAATAGCAGAAGAATTAGGCGTTCATCAGTCGACAGTATCAAAACTAGTTACATTTGTCACAAC